CTTCGAGGATTGATTGATTGAGTNTTGGGAAGATTTTAGTAGAGACTGTATAGGTGGACATTTTTCAATAACAGCAAGGCTTGTTGATTTTTTTTTTAATTGATTGAGAAAACTCTTTTATGTTCTCGTTTGTTTTGTGGTGAAATACGAAATTTGCTCCATTTTGGAAATACGCGAATTATTGGAGCGCCTTTTTTTCTACATTGGGTTTTTCCGTTTGTAAATAATTGAACGAGACTTTACAATCATTTGATGGTTGGTCATGACCTCTCTTTTGATTCTTCTTCATTAAGCTCATGTTGTCAAGTACTGATATTAATTCAAACAATTAAATATGAAATCTAATAATTTAATATAAATTAAAATTTTTCACTTCTCTTTCTAAAATCACTCAATCTCTGTTTATATGAAACATGATAATGTATGGGAGGTAATGTAAAAGTGGGTGAATCTGAACTATTTCTAAACATTCCATTCATTGAATGATGATTCTGATGTTGATTTTGATAATTCTGAAAATTCTGATTCTGAAAATTCTGATGTTGATTCTGATTTCTATGAGGTGATAATGAACCACTATTATCATTTTGAAAATTTAAATCAAAATTAATTTCCTTTCTAATATTTTTTCTATCAAAAGTATGTAATTTTGAAAGTAGAAATGAAAATAAAGTTTCTCTTTCTTGTGTTGATAATTTAGTTAAATTCATAGGTATCATATCTTTATCTGATTTCCATTGATCAGATTTCTTCTTATTATATACATCTTTAGGTTCTTCACCATTTTCTTTCCAATATCCTAATTTAATATCTTGCATTGTTTGTATTATAAATTTACCAATTTCATCTTCTGTTTGAATTTGTGTTTCATATTTGGACATTGATTTTCTATAGGATTCTAATTTCTCTTTATAACTTTCTGTTTCTTTTCTAAATCTTTCTATTATTATATCTTTCTCTTCTACTATTTTTGTTAATTCTTCAATTGAATAATTTTTATATTTTTCTCTTGTGGGTGTATCAATATGTTTTTCATGTTCCATTTCTTT